TACAATGGAGAGAGGCTAAGAAAAGTCTTTATTTGTTGATGGAAGACTTGGTGGAACAGTATTAGAAGAGCCAATCCATAGAACATCACAGAGATGAACTTTTATATAGCCGTGTGAATTAGAAACTCATATTATTCGTTGCTAAAGGGGTTGCCTGTAGACAGAACGGAATACTCTGTATAGCCCAAAGTTAAAAAAAAAAAAAGTATATATTCAACATTTTAATCCAGCTTTTTTCCAATCTTTGAGACCTGTAGTTTATTTTTTTATATAACTTGTTGGCAAGAGGGTTGGTTATGCTCAACAGGAAACTAGCTGAACCTATATGAGCCCTCTGTGGGTGGGTGCTCCACAGAGAGTTGGGAGACAATGGGACAAAAAATTGTTCAGAACTGTGCCTAAATGGAGAACTGCTTGTGTTTTAAAAAGGGCAGAATAACTTTCTAAAGGTTGTTTTGCTACTATTGTTTCAGAGCTCTCCATCCTTTGTGCTTAAACACAGCTAAAAAAAATTCAGCACCTATTTTTTCCCCAAGGATTACTTTAAAAGGGGACAAAAGTGAGGGTTATGCTTTTTGGCTCAGCAAAACACTTACTTTACACTGGCATAGAGATAGCATCAGGTTTCTAAATCGGGTTAGCTACATAGCACCAGGACACTTACTTTCAGTGCATGAGGCCCAGCTGGCAGCACTGTGCTTAGAGGAACTAGTCTTTTAAAATGGTAGACTAAAGAATGATGGCAAACAAGAGTGTGGGACATTTTGCTCCCAAGCACTACTTTCACTCACTAAAGCAAACAGACAAACATCCACGGCTGCCCTTCTTCAAAATTATTTTAATTGTATGCATTATGCAAATTAATGTCATGGTATTTCGGAAAGTATTACATAAGTAGAAAAATTGCATTTCAGTCCTTAGAAATTGATTATAAAATTGCTGTGAAAGACTATCCAGTCATAGAGAGTAAGAGTCTGGTAACACCTTAAAGACTAACAAAATCTGTGGCAGAGTATGAGCTTCACAGTGGGGATTTGGTATCTGAAGAAGTGAACAGTGACTCATGAAAGCTCACCCCCTGCCACAAATTTTGCTAGTCCTTAAGGTGCTACTGGACTCTTGCTCTTTTTTTTACTGCTACAGACAGACTAACATGGATACCCATCTTGATCTATCCAGATGTTTTATCCTTAGGAGGTTTTAAAGGGGGAAATGCCCTGAATTGTTTTAGTATAAGACAGGAAGAGCAGCTTTGATCTGCAAACAGTCAGACTTCAGCCACTTTCTATGACCTCAGTTGATCTGAAGCTTGGAATGTACAGCCTAGATGTCCCCAAAGCCTTGATGTCTATGTACATTTCCAAGAGGAAAATTCAAAGTACTGGACTTCTAGCACTACAGCATTTATAAAAATATACTGTGCACTACACACAATCTAGCATGAGGCAGAAAATGGGAAGACTTTGTGTATCTGATGGAAACTGAAACCAGAACTACCACTAGCTTCATTTATAGCCCACCTTTCTTACAGGGACTCACGATGGATTACAAAGTATAACTATTCAGTCAATCAGCAAGCAAATTATGAACTATGGTAACATTTGAATCTAAGACCAAAGGTTCCTAGTAAAACAATGATGTATTTGGGACTGGGAGAGAAGAAGTGGAGGTAACATTCTTGAAAAGGATTCAGCAAGATACAGCAAGTGGGCACCGACAAAGATGAGGAACAAAATGATTGCCAAAAGATGGAGCTGATGGGGTGATCCTCTCATGCAGCAACCAAGCCACCTGTTCTTCCACTCATCTGGCTTCAGTGGTGCATGGACCATTTGTACAGTTTGTTTTAGTTCTTCTTGTGAGCCATGTGAGAGAAAAAAAACCTAAAATATATATTTGATTACTGTAAAGACCAGACAATTGGTAACCTGAAATCCTCTTGCATTTCAGGTTCTTATTTCCCATTAAAAAATTCACCCGTAACAAGTTTTCATTTCTGGAGGATCACAAAGACAGGCTTGAACACTGAGCTATGTCAAATATTTTTCTACAACATTATAGGTTTGCATAGTGAATTCAACAGTATCAAGTCAAGAAATCCTGGACATAGAATCAATTCTCCTTGGTATACCATAACTTCTAAGAGAACAGAAAAGCACACAGCTGGATACTATTATCCACAACAGAGCTACTTTTAGTTCACCAAGACTTGGTTCTAAAGGTCCTCCTTCATGTGCATTCCCAAAACTGGATCAATAAAAATAAAATTGCCTATGAACATGTGCAAGTACCCTATGCATTCAGGGTTAGGAAAAAAGATATCTAAGGTAGAAAGTAATACCAGAAACATTTGTTTTTAGATAGTAATAATATCTACTCATGTAGCAGTTTTGTATGGCTGCTGTATCTTCTGAATGCAACACAACTGTATCATTCCAGCAAGCAAATGTCTGCTCAGAAATCTACAGAGGGCAAGCATACTAAGGAAATCTGGATTCTTGAAGAGATTGTTTGGGGAGGAAAAATATTAGCCAAGAGCCTCCAATTCAAATGTCAGCCCAGGGACAAAGTGGCCTTAGGGAGCCTGAGAACCCTGTTCATGATAAAGGAAATCTAAATATTATTCGCAAGCTTTGCAAGCACAGATTTCACTGATATGGGCTGGTAGTTTACAGTACATCCCTTAGGGGCAGTTAAAGCTTTTTTCCATAAGTTTCAGGCTACCCTTTGGTAAGATGCCATTGAACAGAAAACCAATGACTCTCTTGAGCTGATGCTTTGTGTGATATTAAAGTAGTCCATTCAGCTCACACGTACCAGGGAAGGAAATAATGGATCTGAATGAGCAGGCACCTTGAATAGAATTCAGTAAAGTTTAAATTAGTCTCTCTCTTCCAGAGTATTAATGGTGAAACATGACTAGAATTTTAAAGTGAAATTCACACCAACAAAATGAGATAGTAATTAATCGATAGTGTGCTATGTAACCATTGCTCAGCAGACTGTGCAGCTTCTAGCCAGGCTTATCTGGAGCTCCTTTATTAAGGAAAGAAACATGTTCAGACTTCAACCTCTTGCTTCAATTACTTCCCCACCTCTGAAGAAGCCTTGCTTTCCTAGCAGTTACCTTCATTATCAGCACTCCTCCTTTATAGCAATGCTTGCAAGATCACCAAGCAAGATAGCCCCCAAGTACTTTACTATGAATAGATTTATAATTAATATTTGGTACACTTTTAAGGCTTTCCATATGAATGCAGCTGAAACTGCCTTATTCTGAATCAGACCCCTGTAATGAAGGGGAAGTGCTGTGGCTCAGTGGCAGAGCATCTGCTCAGCACATAGAAGGTTACACTCTCATACTTTACTATGAATAGATTTATAATTAATATTTGGTACACTTTTAAGGCTTTCCATATGAATGCAGCTGAAACTGCCTTATTCTGAATCAGACCCCTGAAATTAAGGGGAGGGGCTGTGGCTCAGAGGTAGAGGCATCTGCTCAGCACATAGAAGGTTACAGTCTCAGTCCCTGGCAGGACCAGGCAGTAGGGGATTTGAAGGGCTGGCTGAGATGCTGGAGACCTGCCACGGGTCTGAGTAGACAATACTGCCCTTGATGGACCAAAGGTCTGATTCAGTATAAGGCAGCTTCCTGTGTTCATGCATTCTGTCCTCAACATACACACCTCTTGGAGTAAGAAGGTCAATATTGCCTACTTAAGACTGAGGCAGATCTCCAGGGTCTGAGGCTGAGGTTTTTGACACCGGGTTTTTGACACCTAATCCTTTCAGTTACAGACCCTGTGGGTTGAACCTGGGAACTTTCTGCATGCCAAGCAGATGTTCTATTGGTGAGCCACAGCTGCTCAGCAAGTTTCCAGTTCTTTCCCCAATTACATTCCCGCTGGCCCCGCTGAATTACATACTAGCTCACAGAAAACAGGGTTGCACTTACCTGTAACTGTTGTTCATTGAGTAGTCTTCTGTGCAGGCACACATCCCTTTTTCCTGCCCCAATGTGAACTCTCTGGAACCTTAGTTTCTTGGGTTCTCTGGCAGTGGCATGGAGAAAACTAGGGGAGCAGTGCCCCTCCTCTTGGTCATGTGGTCATTTTGGCAGGAAAGTGCCAGAGGGAGGAGGGGCACTCCTAGCCTACTAGAAAGCGTTGGAAACCTTTTCCTCAGATGGTCTGTGCACACACAGTCCCAACGTGTAACTACACAGAAGCCACGACAATGATCCTACAGGGTGCCATTCAAAAAGCAAGGAGATGTATGTTATTTTCTCTCACCCCCTCCATACTTTCTCCCTATTTAGAATTTATGGACTTGTTTCAGGAGGACTTACTGTGTTTAAATATCCTAATGCAGGTTATAATTGGACTTTTAAAATTAGGTATGTGTTGGAAACCACTTCAAGAACATGGGATGCAATGTGGTATATACTGGCAGAGCCAGGGCATCCAGAAAAGCTTTTCCCTCCAAGTGTCTGTGGGCACTGTGGTTTGGAACCTACGCTTGGCTTCTGCTTGCATGGCTCTTTGCCAGTTCCCCAAGACAAGGAAATGCCTGTCCAGGCCAATTATAGCCTATTAGGTAGGGATGCCCTGAGAAGGGTTTTGTCTCAGGTGCCATCCCCATTTTTATGTTGTTGGCCAGTTTAGTGTTCCAACCATTTTGCTGCTCACAAAGACATACAGAACCACCAATGCATTTTTAAACAATGGAGATGTTTATTAAAAGTGCTTTTAGTTTCGGTTAAAACTACAGTCCTGAGTCCTTGTAATGAGGTATAGCTATAGGCTAAAATGGCAACTAAAAACAGATTCCAGCAACATATTGACACATGACCTGCAGTGCCCTACAAAAACTAGGATGATCAACTCTGTTGACCAGAGGCAAGTGCTTCAGTTCCAGTGCAGTTCCCACTGGTATTCCACAGTTCACTGCAGAGGTAAGACAGCTGGTGGTTCCAGGAGGGATACTTGCATGTACCTGCCATAAAGAGAAGTTGCAGATTATAGAGTTAGGGATCTTTCTCGTTGGTAAGAGCTTCAGCTACTGTGAAACGTGAGAGCTTCAGATCAGTGAGCTGGGACTTGAACTCTGCCCTAGAAAAAGACTTTGAGGACCCACATTAATGACTGATACTTAACAATTAACAATTCCTAGACTACACAAGAGTCAGATACAGAGTTCAGCATCCCAAGAATGCTTCTTCATTTAAAGATGGAAATACCAGGGACCAACCTACAGCACACAAATATGCCCCCTTCAATTGTAGGCAATCCTATGAGATCTCCAAAACTGAGGGGCGGGAGAGTCAGACTCTGAACAGGGTTTCATGTTTATTATTTAATTTATACCCTGCCCTCCCTGATGAAGCAGGCTCAGGGAGGCTTACATAAAACTTCATTAAACAGATAAAACACACAAGTCAAAATAAAAATATAAAACACTACATAAAGTGCAAGTTCACTTTATAGTTGTCATTGCTGTTCTACATCTTTGTCCTTCTATATGACAAAGATTGGAACTTCAGCAAAACACCGATCTTATTGGTATGTTTTTCACATACCACATAATTCAGATTTTCTTGATTTCTAGACTGCTACAAAAACAGCCTTAAAAGCTACATACAATCTGGTCCATACAGTAGCTAGGGCCTTCAACAGCCTGGAGTAAAAAAAGTCCTGCCCTCTTAAAAGAGGAGTGATCTGTGAAAATGGGCACCTACTTTTTTCCATGGCATGGCTAGTTCACTTCATAGTTGTCATAGGTGGGCTTTGCTGTTCTACATCTTTGTCCTTCTACATGACAAAGATTGGAACTTCAGCAAAACACCAGTCTTATTGGTATGTTTTTCACATACCACATAATTCAGATTTTCTTGATTTCTAGACTGCTACAAAAACAGCCTTAAAAGCTACATACAATCTGGTCCATACAGTAGCTAGGGCCTTCAACAGCCTGGAGTAAAAAAAGTCCTGCCCTCTTAAAAGAGGAGTGATCTGTGAAAATGGGCACCTACTTTTTTCCATGGCATGGAGGCAAGCATCACCCGGTATATAAAATCCCATTAAGCCTCTTAAGGTAGGACACTTTTTCTCCAGGAGGCCAGCAGACCTAAGGTCAGCTGTATTTTCATACAACGGCAGAGTCTGACTACCATAGCTTTATTGCTACACCAACTTTGTACCAACTGGTCAGTTTTAGGCACTTTCCACAAATGATTTCTGCATTGCTGGTGTGATGGCTGATAACCTGCAACAGCAACATGGCTCCCACAAGGCAAGTTCCCCCCCATTTTCCCTGCCCCAGTTCCCCAACAGCAGCACCCCCAGGACACCCATGTCTTTGCAATTTAAGAAAATGGTACCCAGAATACTGTAATATTGATATGACACTATCCCAACATGAATACCTTGTTCTCTGAATTCCTAACTTTCATTTAAAACGTTTGTCTGTAGCACCTTCCATTGTGGAGGTACACCTTTCTGTTACAATGGAAGGGGGCTACATACTTTTAAAATAAAAGCTGGGAATTCAAAGAACCTGGTATACCTGTTGGTGTGTACATATTGGGACACTTATATATTAAATCTAGTGCTGAAACAAAGGCAGAAGGAGGAGATGACTGCTGCTGGGACAGGGTCAGGAAAAACAGCTGCCACGTGGGTGAGAAAAATCTGAATTTTCATGTCTACGCAGCAGCCATCTGGGCTTTACTGTGATCTTTCTCAGAACTTCAGAGCAAAGAGGTCTGAACAAGAGTGAAGAAAAGCCAGGGAAACCCCAGGGAGAGCATGAATGAACCATGATGATGTAGGGAAGCAGGGAAAAGAAACCACCTCCCAAAAGCACTGAACCCAAGGCAGATAAAGACCATTTTCTTACAGGTTAATTTCTGTTGTGAGTAATAAAGAGCCCTGGAGGACATCAAAAACCAGGAGAGGACACTCACTTTGTCATCTTGTATTTTTCTCTTATCGCTTGCTGTGGCTGATGAGAAGCATCAAGGCAGACTTTATGCAGGTCACTCAGACAAGGCACTATCTCACTTAGCGAG